GATGGGCTGCTGTAATAATTATGGGGAACTACTAAACCCATATGTGTAATAGAGCACTTAGGACTGAGGAATGGGAGGCAATCAGGTCTGATCCAAGAAAGTGGAAGATAGTAACAATTCTCTGGATCATGAGCCCCTCACTGGCATAAAGGCACCATTGTTGAAGGATGTAATAAAAAAAAATCTTTCAACGCACCAGCCGTATCCCACTGAGGCAGGTTGGCCCAAAAAGAAAAACAAAAGGTTCTCTTTTTAACTTTATTAATACATACAGGAGAAGGGGTTACTAGCCCCTTGCTCCCAGCACGTTAGTTGCCTCTTACAATATGCATGGCTTACGGAGGAAGAATTCTGTTCCACTTCCCCATGGAGATAAGAGGAAATAAACAAGGACAAGAACTAGTAAGAAAAATAGAAGGAAACAGAGGGGTGTGTGTGTGTGTGTATATGCTTGTACATGCATGTGTAGTGTGACCTAAGTGTAAGTAGAAGTAGCAAGACATACCTGAAACCTTGCATGTTTGAGACAAAAAATACACCAGCAATCCTTCCATCATGTAAAACAATTACAGCTTCCATTTTACACTTGCTTGGCAGGACGGTAGTACCTTCCTGGGGGATTGCTGTCTACCAACCTACTACCTTGGAATAAAAAAATATAGCAATTCTATTAATGAAAAGTTTGAGGGGAAACTTTTCCACAGAAGTTATTATGCCCAGTAAAAGTTGCCAAGAACTTCTCATGGTAGGTGCCTTGCTGCTAGTGATAGCTCTTGATCCTAGGAACTGAACATATAATCCCTTTCCTTGGACTGAATGTGATTGACTCCAATTCCTCCTGTCCCTCCCCACCCTTCATAAATGTAATGAAATAGAGAGAGAATTTTGTTTCTTACTAGCTGCTGCTGCTGCATACCTGTCAGCACATAGGACTGTTCATCACTTATACCTCTGGTCTCACTCAGCACAGTTTTTTTTTATTTTTTTTATTATCACACCGGCCGATTCCCACCAAGGCAGGGTGGCCCGAAAAAGAAAAACTTTCACCATCATTCACTCCATCACTGTCTTGCCAGAAGGGTGCTTTACACTACAGTTTTTAAACTGCAACATTAACACCCCTCCTTCAGAGTGCAGGCACTGTACTTCCCATCTCCAGAACTCAAGTCCGGCCTGCCGGTTTCCCTGAATCCCTTCATAAATGTTACTTTGCTCACACTCCAACAGCACGTCAAGTATTAAAAACCATTTGTCTCCATTCACTCCTATCAAACACGCTCACGCATGCCTGCTGGAAGTCCAAGCCCCTCGCACACAAAACCTCCTTTACCCCCTCCCTCCAACCCTTCCTAGGCCGACCCCTACCCCGCCTTCCTTCCACTACAGACTGATACACTCTTGAAGTCATTCTGTTTCGCTCCATTCTCTCTACATGTCCGAACCACCTCAACAACCCTTCCTCAGCCCTCTGGACAACAGTTTTGGTAATCCGCACCTCCTCCTAACTTCCAAACTACGAATTCTCTGCATTATATTCACACCACACATTGCCCTCAGACATGACATCTCCACTGCCTCCAGCCTTCTCCTCGCTGCAACATTCATCACCCACGCTTCACACCCATATAAGAGCGTTGGTAAAACTATACTCTCATACATTCCCCTCTTTGCCTCCAAGGACAAAGTTCTTTGTCTCCACAGACTCCTAAGTGCACCACTCACTCTTTTTCCCTCATCAATTCTATGATTCACCTCATCTTTCATAGACCCATCCGCTGACACGTCCACTCCCAAATATCTGAATACGTTCACCTCCTCCATACTCTCTCCCTCCAATCTGATATTCAATCTTTCATCACCTAATCTTTTTGTTATCCTCATAACCTTACTCTTTCCTGTATTCACCTTTAATTTTCTTCTTTTGCACACCCTACCAAATTCATCCACCAATCTCTGCAACTTCTCTTCAGAATCTCCCAAGAGCACAGTGTCATCAGCAAAGAGCAGCTGTGACAACTCCCACTTTGTGTGTGATTCTTTATCTTTTAACTCCACGCCTCTTGCCAAGACCCTCGCATTTACTTCTCTTACAACCCCATCTATAAATATATTAAACAACCACGGTGACATCACACATCCTTGTCTAAGGCCTACTTTTACTGGGAAAAATTTCCCTCTTTCCTACATACTCTAACTTGAGCCTCACTATCCTCGTAAAAACTCTTCACTGCTTTCAGTAACCTACCTCCTACACCATACACTTGCAACATCTGCCACATTGCCCCCCTATCCACCCTGTCATACGCCTTTTCCAAATCCATAAATGCCACAAAGACCTCTTTAGCCTTATCTAAATACTGTTCACTTATATGTTTCACTGTAAACACCTGGTCCACACACCCCCTACCTTTCCTAAAGCCTCCTTGTTCATCTGCTATCCTATTCTCCGTCTTACTCTTAATTCTTTCAATTATAACTCTACCATACACTTTACCAGGTACACTCAACAGACACAGCACAGTTATTGTAGAATTTTAGATCCTTCAGGATTAATTTCAGTGTTATTCTTGAAGTATCTTTATGCCTAGGAAGGGCTCTCTGTCCAAGGAATTTGAGCCACCCTTCCCTGTTTTTTTAATTGCCTGCTTACTTTCCAGTTCTAAGGCACTGTATGAGCTACAGGTTCACCACTTCATGATTATCTTTCACTATTTTGACCAGTGACCCATTCATTATTCTCAAAATTTTAAAGGTTCTGTGATGCTGGTGAAGGGCTCTTGATCCAAAAGAATTGGGCCCACCCTTCCTTGGATCAAACCTGATTATCTCCTGTTCTTTAGAGCTTTGATCCCTGTGGGTTTAGCTCTTGCCTTTGTTGCGGTGCACCAGAACTATTCAGCTGGATTAGGAAACTTGGCATCTCTGTTTTAATCTAGGCCTAAGATCTTTCAAGTCTGGTATTAACAGCATGCTGTTAAAGACCATGGAGAGGACTTGATTTGCATGTAAAGTGCAGTACCAACACTGCATTATGCTTGTAGTCTGATGTTAGAGTTTGTGGCTCACTACAGTACAGTAAACAAGAATTATAATTTACGGTGGTACTTCTACCTCACTGTTGACAGTTCCAAGTGTCTTGACCCTCAGGACCTGGTCCTGGATCAGCTACCTTGGTTGTAGATGTAATCAGTCCAGCTGCTGGTGCTAGCAACACTTAGTCCCATGTAATCACTGCAACCCAGCTTATCAGGAACTGTCCTCCAGACAGTTTTTAATGTTAGAAACTGTGATAACTATGCTTTGTTGGGCCCATCAAGGATAACGTGAGTAGTTTTCTTAAAAGGATACTTTCCTATGTTTCATGTGCCATTGTTGGGAAATGGTGATCCCAGCTTTTCTCCTTTAAATGTCTGGGAATCTGTTATTGGCTGAGCAGCATTGAGTGTCCAACCCATTGTGACCTGGACTATAAAAGCAATAGGTGAAACCAGGATTCTTTACTGCAGAGAAAAAATTTAATGGTATGAAAAGGCCCGTACTAGTAAATATACACAATACATGTATTGTACCGAGATGAAAACAGGCTTTCATTAGTCTAGGTTCAGATGGTTCTTGAAGCTCTAGTATCGCTAGATTTACTTGCATTTGTTTATCAATAACAACAATCAGATTGGTTACATTTGAAAATATTCTTGCTGTGAATAGAAAAAAAATAATTACCAAGACTGTCAGATAGTCATATCAAAAAATTTAATCATTCTAGCCCTTCAAGTGTGGTGAAAGGCTCTTGATTTGAACAGCTGGACCTGTTTGCCAGTTCCTCAGATCAAACCCGATTATCTCTTCCCCAGCCATTTAATGGTTTAGTGCTTTCCATGAAGATGATAATCTCCATCCATGGAATTGGAGCTGCCCTTCCCTGTATCACATGTGTTTACCTCCCAGTCATAAGTATTCTGACTACTAGGGGTTTAATACTTACCTCATGATTATAATAATGCAACATGTTTTAATTGGGGTGTTCATCAGAACAATCCTGTGAAGAAAAACTTTACCTTGCAGAGGAAGCTTTTATTGGAACAGTTGTAAGACATAATTTCACTGTATAAAGTTCTATACATAACGAACCTTAATCCCAGTCAAGGCTTTTTCTACACCTTGTCATTTCTTCATTTGTTGCCAGTTTGACATTTGGACTGAGAGAGCAAACATTATTCTAGACACCTTCTGTGGTGCTTAAGCATGCTAAACTTTTACTACAGTGGTTCATTTACCTCACTCCTTTTACCTTTATCCCCTCGGTACCTTTACCTCTCTTCCTCTACCTTTCATTGAGAGAAGTGCCTTGATGCCAGTGAAGGGCTCTTTATCCCAGGAATTGGAGCTACCTTTTTTTTTTTCTCTCTCCATCAAACCTGATTGCCTTCCTATTTAAACAAGAAAATTATGATTTTTTCACTGCTTCTTCGCCACCATGTATCACAGCCTCTTCGCCACCATGTATCACAGCCTCTTCCCCACCATGTATCACAGCCTCTTCCTCACCATGTATCACAGCCTCTTCCTCACCATGTATCACAGCCTCTTCCTCACCATGTATCACAGCCTCTTCCTCACCATGTATCACAGCCTCTTCCTCACCATGTATCACAGCCTCTTCCTCACCATGTATCACAGCCTCTTCCTCACCATGTATCACAGCCTCTTCCTCACCATGTATCACAGCCTCTTCCTCACCATGTATCACAGCCTCTTCCCCACCATGTATCACAGCCTCTTCCCCACCATGTATCACAGCCTCTTCCTCACCATGTATCTGTCCGTCTCTTCCCTGCCTTGTATCACTGCCTGCCTCTTCCCCACCATGTATCACTGCATGATTCATATTGGCTTACCACCTTCCAACAAGTGCTGCTCTTATGTTGAATAATGCAGCAAAAATTATGAAGTGCTATGTTTCATAAAAAATAAAGCTAATTTTCTGCACTTGTTCTTGACAGCTCGTCCAATGCACAACATGAGTAATGGAAGTGTGCCTATGACTCCATCTGCCAGGATATCTGCTCTTAACATTGTTGGTGACCTTTTAAGAAAAGTTGGGGTAAGTTATCTGTTTATTACAGCGCATGTGGTGTAGTATTGATTCATGCACAGTAACTCCCATAGGGGTTTAGCACTATATTGTGAATGCAGTATTAACTAATTAGGTAAGAAAGTTCTCAGTGTTAGAAAAATATCTCAAACAAGTAATATACATACAGGAAGTACTTTCAAGCCTTTATAATCACACCAATACTGTTATGGGCTTGTTCACTTGTTGATTTTTACCAGGGATAAGTCCTTCAATGGGAGGGGGGATGTTAGTGCATTGATAATAGGAAAAGACTCTTTGATTTAAAGAATTTGAGGTACCCTTCACTTACATTGTTTCCCATGCACAGTATGACTTCCACACATGTAGCATTTTGCCATGAATATGAATGTAATAAGTGTCAGCATAGAATTTTTTTTTTTTAAGTTGTGTAGTTAGGGACAATTCTTGTCTCGTTGCTTTTATGTGACTACAGTACCTTAATCTGTGTACCTTAATGTGTGGTTAATTTTTTAGTAATAGCTGTCAAATATAAAAGGCTAACTTTTCTATCTTTAGTAAAATATAAAATGTGTTTTATTCCTTCAAAATTTGTGTTATGTTGACAGACAAATTTTGAGTATGCTTAAATAGCTACACTGGAACCCTGGATTTCGTCCACACCAGATATCTCACGATTTGGATTTCGACCACTTTTTTCGGCAAAATTTTGCTCCGGATTTTGTACCTCGTCCCAGATATTGTCAATATCAAACACGTCCACCCACCCAGGACACTGCCACTAATGTGTATGTGTCTGTCTGTCTCTGTCACAGGTTGAGTGAGCATTCATCTGAAGCATTTCATAATAATCCATTGTTTTTTGTGCTTGTTTATTGAGTGCTTGGAGAAAATTGTGGCCAGGATGTGTCCTCGACAAAGATTTTGAAGGGTTTGAGGCTGACCCTATCGACCCTATGCCTGCTGTGGAATCTGTCGTGGGTTTGGGGAAGTCCGTAGGGTTGGATGTGAGTGGCCAGGATGTGGAAGAGTTGGTGGAGGACCACAGGGAAGAGCTAACCACTAAAGAGGTGGAAGACCTTCATCTGGAACAGCAATAGGCCACAGCTGAGGAAATTGCTTCAGAGGAGGAGGAAGAGAGAGAGGGGAGAAGGTGCCTTCTTCAGTGATTAAGGACATTTGTGCAAAGTGGAATGAGTTGCAAACTTTTGTGGAAAAATATCACCCTGACCAAGCCAATATAAGCTGTATCTGCAACATGTTCACTGACAATACCTTGTCCCATTTTAGGCAAATCTTAGACGCCAGAAACAGAGCTCTCTGGACAGATTTTTAGTGCGACAATGGTCCGGTGCCAGTAAAAGACAAGGGAAGTAACCCTGGATAGGGCTTTGATATTGAAGTCCTTAGGGAGGGGGATTCTCCTTCCAAACAGTAACCTCTGCTCCTCCTCCCTCTCCCCTCCTCACCATCCATACCCCAACAAGAGCCTTCAATAAAGGCTTAGATGAGAGATCACTGAATTAGACCAAAAAACTTAGGATGTCATGCCTAACAGAAGAAGTACAAAGGGCCATACAAGATATTGCAAGAAACCCAAAATATTTCTATTCCTATGCAAAATCCAAGCTAAGAACTACTTGTAGAATTGGACCACTATTGAGAGGAGATCGTATACTGATGATGAACAGGAAATGAGTGAAATCCTAAAAGAACAGTACGAGTCAGTGTTCAGCAACCCACTAAATGACAGCAGGGTAGAAAATGCAGAAATATTTTTCACTCCAGAAGAAGGCCGCGCAGACCAACTAACTTATATTGGTACACATCCCATAGATTTCGAAAAAGAAATGGACAACATACCCACTCACTCAGTACCTGGATCAGAGTCATGGAATGCTCTATTTCTAAAGAAGAGTAAAGTACTATTAGCACGAGCACTCGGCATTCTTTGGAGAAAGAGCTTAAATCTAGGTGAAATACCAGAGGCCTTAAAGAGTGCAGACATAACTCTATTGCATAAGGGAGGTAGTAGAGCAGTAGCTAAAAATTACAGACCAGTAGCCCTAACTTGTCACATAATGAAAATATTCGAAAGAGTAGTGAGATGGCAGATTACAAATTTCATGGACCAGCATAACCTGAACCAGCATGGTTTTAGAGCAGGACGATCATGCCTGTCACAGTTACTGAACCATTATGACAGAATTACAGAGGCATTGGAAGACGACCAAAACGCAGATGTGATTTGTACACAGATTTTGCAAAGGAGTTTGACAGATGTGATCGTGGAGTGATAATGCACAAAATGAGGGCCATGGGCATTATGGGGAAGGTAGGCAGATGGATTTTCAAGTTCCTAACACACAGAACACAAGTACTGTAGTAGTATTGAACAAGGCAAGATCCAGCATCAGTGAGGTTAAAAGCTCAGTGCCCCAAGGCACTGTCTTGGCACCTCTGCTGTTTCTCATCCTCATAGCAGACATAGATAAAAACACTCGGCACACTCTTGTATCATCATTTGCAGATAACTCTAAAGCATGAAAGTCACTACAGTAGAGGACACTGAAAAATTACAGGAAGACATAAGCAGGGTTTTTCAGTGGGCAGTGGAGAACATGATGTTCAATAGTGATAAGTTCCAGCTGCTTAAGTATGGAAAGAATGAAGAACTCAAAGGGAACACTATATACAAAACTCAAGAGGGCCACCAAATAGAATGTAAGGAACACACAAAAGATCTGGGAATAATTATGTCAGCTGACCTTACTTTTAAAAACCATAACAAGACAAAGATCATGACAGCCAGGAAGATGATGGGGTGGGTATTGAGAACTTTCGAAACAAGGGAAATAATGCCGATGGTGACACACTTCAAATCACTAGTGCTTCCTCACTTAGAATATTTCTCAGTGCTGATGGCCCCATTCAAAGCAGGAGAAATATCAAAGCTGGAACAAATACAGAGATTGTTTACAGCTCACATTGAGCCAGTAAAGCACCTAAACTACTGGGAACACCTTTAGGTCTTGAGCATGTACTCAGTGGAGCGGAGGAGAGATGCATGATAATATATGTATACCTGGAAAGTAATCGAGGGCCTGGTCCCAAATCTGCACACTGCCATAACAACATACTGGAGTGAGATATATGGGAGGAAGTGTAAAATAAATCTAATGACTGTGCGGTGGGGACAATAAAGGAACACTGTATCAACATCCAGGGTCCCAGACTATTCAACATCGTACCAGAAGATATCAGAAACACTTTTGGAGCAAGTGTAGAAGTAGAAGCCTTAAAGAGGAAACTGGACAAATAGCTTCACCAGGTACCAGATCAACCAAGCTGTGATGGATATGTGGGGCAGCAGGCCTCCAGCAGCAACAGCCTAATTGACCAAGCAAGCACCAGACGAGCCTGGCCCATGACCGGGTTCAGGGAGTAGAGAAACTCTCAAAACTCTTCAAAGGTATAAGGTATCCATTTCATTAGTCACTTATATTTCTTACTCATTGTTTTCTGTAAGTAAAACTACGTATAGTTATTGTTTAAAAAATGTATTTTTTTTTTTTTTTTTTTTTTTTTTTTTTTTTTTTTTTTTTTAATATTTTTGGGTGTCTGTAATGGATTAATTGCATTTACATTATTTCTTATGGGAAATGTTGCTATGGTGTTCGTCTGTTTCTGATTTAGATTGACCTTCTGGAACGGATTAAGTATGAAATTTGGGGTTCCACTGTACTTGCTTATTTTTTCATTTATTTTACTCTACCATTCAGTGCTGGAATGAATGTCTATATTGTTCTATTTTTTTAATTGTACATTTGAAATGTATTGTGCATTGCTTGGTGTGATTTGTTTTGGTGATATTGAAACAACAGAATTACTGGCTAGGTATTGAGCTGTTTCTCAGGTGTAATGGAAATTTGAAATCTGTGATTACCAAGTAGTGATACACTCAAGGTGGACCTCTGGCTATAGTTTAGTTAAGAGAATGTATTAAAATTTGTATACAGTATCATCTTTGGAACTCTATAAAGCAAAAAATATGGTCTTTGAATTTTACAATATACTATCATGATTTTTTTTAGATTGTTCCAAATTTATCGATCAAAATATAAATACTGTAGCTGAAAACTATACCTTTGTATTTTTAAAGCTAAACTTGAGGCTGGAGATGCTTTACAGGTAGAAGACTAAGTAATAGTTATGTAATGACATCAGCATTCCTAGATGACATCTTGGTTGTGGTATTAACCCTTAAATGGTCCAAACGTATATATACGTTTTTTCAACATCTGAAAGTATGTAAAAAATGTAGATCTTTTTTGTTTTACATTTGAAAACGTGTAAAAGAAACTTTTATCTACTTTTTTTTTTGTTATATTTGAAAATATGTAAAAAAAGGTAGATCTACTTTTGTAGCACTACGAATTTGAACGTGGATCTGTTTGGACCGTTTAAGGGTTAAAGAAGGCTCAATTCACAATATCCTGAACACTATTAATAGTCTAGAACTTACCAGCAAATTCACAGTAAAAGTAGAGAGAGATAACTGTTAATCATTTCTTGATTCCTCATGGGTGAAGGGCTCTTGATCCAGGGAATTGGATCTGTATTTCTTCCTTCAGTTGAATCCAATTGCCATCCATTACTCCACGTACTACACTACCAAGGCTGGTGTACAAATCCCTTGAGGAGGTTAATGAAAAGTACATAGGATAAACATGTAGAAGATGCAAACTCAGACTTCGAGAATGTTAATACACTTGCAGATAGGACAACCAAAATGTCTGCATACAACATAGAATGTCACTGGGGAACATCTTAGTTACATGAAGTCAAACTAATAAATTATGAGGATTATTTATGCATATGGAAGTCCTTGGAAGCAGCCATGATTAGTCAGGGTGTACACAAAAGCACTGCTTGATTTCAAACAGGTATACCATGTAACTTTATTGTAATAGTCTTTCACAGTTAGTAGCTTCAGGTGCAGGATTTCA